AGGCTCACACTCAGGGAGCAGGCTCACACTCAGGGAGCGGGCTCACACTCATGGAGCAGGCTCACACTCAGGGAGCGGGCTCACACTCAGGGAGCAGGCCCACTCTCATGGAGCAGGCTCACACTCATGGAGCGGGCTCACACTCATGGAGCAGGCTCACACTCAGGGAGCAGGCTCACACTCAGGGAGCGGGCTCACACTCATGGAGCAGGCTCACACTCAGGGAGCGGGCTCACACTCATGGAGCAGGCTCACACTCAGGGAGCGGGCTCACACTCAGGGAGCAGGCTCACTCTCATGGAGCAGGCTCACACTCTGGAGCAGGCCCACTCTCATGGAGCGGGCTCACACTCATGGAGCAGGCTCACACTCATGGAGCAGGCTCACACTCTGGAGCAGGCTCACACTCTGGAGCGGGCTCACACTCTGGAGCAGGCTCACACTCAGGGAGCAGGCTCATACTCTGGAGCAGGCTCACACTCTGGAGCAGGCTCACACTCACGGAGCAGGCCCACACTCACGGAGCAGGCTCACACTCATGGGGCGGGCTCACACTCATGGAGCGGGCTCACACTCATGGAGCGGGCTCACACTCTGGAGCAGGCTCACACTCATGGAGCGGGCTCACACTCATGGAGCGGGCTCACACTCATGGGAGAAGGCTCACACTCACGGAGCAGGCTCACACTCATGGAGCAGGCTCACACTCATGGAGAAGGCTCACACTCACGGAGCAGGCTCACACTCATGGAGCAGGCTCACACTCTGGAGCAGGCTCACACTCTGGAGCGGGCTCACACTCTGGAGCAGGCTCACACTCATGGAGAAGGCTCACACTCAGGGAGCAGGCTCACACTCAGGGAGCAGGCTCACACTCATGGGGCGGGCTCACACTCACGGAGCAGGCTCACACTCATGGGGCGGGCTCACACTCAGGTAGAAGGCTCACACTTATGGAGCAGGCTCACACTTGTGGAAGTGTCTGGAGAAAGGCCAAGCTAGTGTTCCACACCCCTCTGGGGACCTGCACACATCGCAGGATGAGGACACAGGCTCTGGAAGAGCCTGGCCTGGAGTGGGGGCCGCCATGGTGACAATGTTTGCATTTTCTTTGGAATAGAATGGTAATGACTCAGTGGATAAGAGCAGTGGCTGGTCTTCCAGAGCATCGGGGTCCAATTCCCAGCATCCACGTGGCAGCTCACAACTGTCTGTAACTCCAGCTCTAGGGGACCTGACACCCATGGCAAAACACCATTGTACATAACGTAAAGATAAATAAATTAAAAAAGAAAATCTAGAAATGTAATAACAAGAATCAAAACCAAAAAAACAAACAACCACCCCAAAAGAAAACTCCCCGGGCTGGAGAGATGGCTCAGAGGTTGAGAGCACTGGCTGCTCTTCCACAGGTCCTGAGTTCAATTCCCAGCAACCACACGGTGGCTCACAACCATCCATAATGAGATCTGGTGCCCTCTTCTGGTGTGCAGACATACATGGAGGCAGGATGTTGTAGTCATAATGAATAAATAAAATCTTAAAAAAAAAAAAAGAGCCGGGCGTTGGTGGTGCACGCCTTTAATCCCAGCACTCGGGAGGCAGAGGCAGGCGGATCTCTGTGAGTTCGAGGCCAGCCTGGTCTACAGAGCGAGTTCCAGGACACCCTCCAAAGCCACAGAGAAACCCTGTCTCGAAAAACCAAGAAATAAAAAAAGAAAAAATAATAAAAGAAAAAAAAAGAAAACTCCCCAAACTCATGATTGTTAAAAAATAAAAAAATTGAAAAAAGAATGCTCTAGAACCCAGGAGCGGAGATATTTGTATTACATAAAATAGTACATTTATGTCGTGTGTGCTTTAGAAATAAAACCATTTCCATAAGTAAATACAGTTCAACATGTGGAGGCTCAGGGTGTTAGAGGGATGGGGTCAGGAGCAGAGGGGCGTCTGGGTGCCATTCCAGCACAGAAGCAGACTGGGGAGCTCATGGATGAATGACTGGACAACGGACAGACGGCCAGTTACAGAAGGCCCTGTGATCCTCAACGGTCTTTGCTCACCGATCAGACTGTGACAGCCAGCAAGGGGAGGTCTGGCTTCCTGTCCCCACCCTGGGGAAGACAGCAAGGGGTTGCAGCAGCCTTTGTCCCACTGGTTCCTGGTGGTGACCTTGACAAGGCTGCTTCTGCAGGCTCAGATTGCGTTCTGCAAAGCTCACATGATGGGGCTATAAATGTTATATGGGACAGGCATCCGGTCCTCCAGCAATCAGGCTGACGAGGGTTAGGCAGACCTGTCTCAAACTCCTAGAAAAAGTGCTGCCCTGGAACCCCAGACACCCCACATCTGAGAGGTCAGGATTCATGGAACAGGCTCTCAAGGCTTATATAGGAAATACGGGGCTGAAAGGTTTTTTTTTTTTAAAGATCTATTTATTTTATGTATAGTGTTCTGCCTGCAGACTGAAAGAGGGCACCAGACAGATCTCATTACAGACGGTTGTGAGCTGTGTGGGGGTGCTGGGAACTGAACTCAGGACCTCTGGAAGAGCAGCCAGTGCTCTCTTAACCTCTGAACCATCTCTCCAGCCCTGAAAGTGGGGGTTTTGTTTTTTAATTTTTTGAGACAGGGTTTCTCTGTGTAGCTTTGTAGACCAAGCTGGCCTCGAACCCACGAGATCTGCCTGCCTCTGCCTCCCGAGTGCTGGGATTAAAGGTGGGCACCACCACCGCCCTGCTCGAATGTGGGGTTTAAGAGATGCAGAGGAGCTCAACCTGAAGTTTGCCGGAGCATTTCTGAGTTCTGACTGGCTGAAGCTGACATCATCGCTGAGAATTTGATTGTGTCTTAGTGAGCATTGGTTTGCGGCTCCACTAAAGCGATGTCCCAGGTGACCCAGGGCCACCCTGACTCCCCAAGGTCATCAAGGACTGGGGACAGCGGGTCACCCTGTCCTCTGGTGATGACATTTGCAATGATCTGGTGGATCACGAGAGGGCCGGTGCTTTCATGTGTTGACACAGGTGGGGCTGCCTGGCGTGGGCAGCTCACCTCTGCCCCAGTGTGCGGCCTCGGGACCCAGCGACGCTTTTCTGGCGAGGAAGTCAGGGTCCTACCCCGCTGAGGTAATGGCTGGCCGGCTGCCCATAAACGGGCCACCCTGCTCCTCTGCATGGCCCCGGAACCGGTGATGAGGTCATCGACTCAGGATTTTGGGGAAGGGAAGCCAAGTTGGCAGGATGCCACGTTCCAGAGTTTCCTGAACCAGAAATCTCTTGGGGGTGGGGAGTCGTGACGATGCTTATCGGGGGACGGGGGACCCCACGGAGCCCTGCTGCTCCGGAGCCCTTGGAGAACATTCCATGAACACAGTGAACGGCTGACTGATCCTGGTCTTAAAGAGACAGGGCTCGTTCTCGGGAGGGCGCCACTCTGGGTCGGGAGGATGGGATAGTATACAGCACGGAAGAGGGCGGGTGGCTCGCACTCAGGAGCGAGGCAGGAGGATTGTGGCTTTGGAGTCACCCAGAGAGGGCACTGGGGCTGGAGGAACTTCCCTTGGGCTGGCCTGTGACAGGCGTGTTTCTCTGGGGACGACAGCCTGCACCTGCTCCAGTTTGGATGGCATCAGAGTGCCCCGGTGCCTTTGCTGAGTGCCTACTGTGTACGCGGGTCACCCAGCCTGTGGTAACCCCGGGAGGAAGCTGGAGGCTTAGCTGGTCACACGCATCAGAGCGGGGGGGGGGGGGGGTAGCCTGGGGAACCGTTGCTGGCACCCCGTCTTTTTCCGAAAGGGTGAGATGGAACCCAGGGCCGAAGTTGTTAGGGAAGCCGTGTGCCGCTGAGCCAGACAGGCAGCCTGGGCTACCTGGGGATGCTGCAGGGTCAGGCTGGGTACGGAGGCGCCGAGAATGGCCGCCCGGGCCTGTCCCCGCTCCGGAGCCGCCGCCCGGGCCTGTCCCCGCGGATCCCAGCGGCCGCTCTGCTGACGTTCCGGCCGCGGCCGCCAGGTGGCGCCCGGCAACCCAAGTCGGGTTGAGCTGCGGGGAGCGGCCGAGCAGCCGAGGAGAGCATGGCAAGCGGCGTCTCGACCCCCCCACAGCCGCCACCTAAGGCGGGGAGGCGTCTCCAGGCCCCGCGAGCCCCGCGGGCCCTCCTCCCACGGCCGCCCACACCCGCGGGCCTCTGCTGGGACGCGGGCTGCGGAAGCTGTCACGCGGGGACCGTGCCTCCTTGGTGGGTGCGCACGCTCGAGGCCCAGGGAGCAGGCTTGCAGCCTCTCAGAAAGGGAAACTGAGGCTCCGCCGTCGGGGAGCGGAGGGCCGCAGTGTGGCCAGGCCGGCTCCTCCAGAGGGGCAGACGTCAGGGGTGGAAACAATCCCAGAGCGCCCCTCGCAGGGAGACCCCAGGCCGCCCCTCCCACGGATGCAGTGACCTCAAGACTCCGTCCACACTGATCCACGTTTGGGGAAAGGGCCCTGGGGTACGGGCGGCCTTGGGGCCTGGGCATCTGGGTCCCGGTCAGCGGGGGGGGGCGGGTAGCGTGTGCATACGGCAGCGGGGGCCCCGGGCGCCCCGAGCCCGGCGGGTGCGCTGGTGCCGCCGCCGCCCTGGCCCCCAGGTCCCCAGGGCTGCAGCCTCCGGCGTGGACGCAGCGTAACGGGGCGGACCCCGCGGGGACCCGGGCGCGCGCACCCAGGCCGATCTGTGGGCGGCAGCTCGGGGACACTGAGGCAGGCGAAGGGCGGCTTGCCCGAACTTGCCCGTCGGGCTCCTTCGAGGGGGCGGGGCGGGAGCGCGGGGCACCGGAGGGAAGAGTCCACTTGGACCCGAGTGTGGCCGCGTCACGTGCCCTGTGGGACGGCCACCCCCGCCCAGCTCTCGGGGCTCCCGCTCGGGTCACGGGGGGGGGGCGCGGGGCGGGGCGGGGCGGCCGGGTCCGGGGCTATAAAGGCGGTGGAGGCGCGCGCTCGGGACCGCTCGCAGGCTTCCGCGCCATGGCCCCGCCCGCGCCCGGGGCGCAGCCTCCAGGCGGCTCGCAGCTGAGGTTCCTGCTGCTCCTGCTGCTACTGCTCCTGCTCGTGTCGTGGCCGTCGCCCGGGGACGCGCTGGCGCTGCCCGAGCCCCGAAGCCCCGACGCCGAGCCCCGGCTGGACGCCCGCGAGCTGCGGGGTCGCGTCCAGGACCTGCTGAGCCGGCTGCACGCCAACCGGAGCCGGGAGGGCGAGAGCTCGGGGCTCGCCCGGGGCCCGACCGTCCGCGTCCTCACTCCAGAAGGTGAGCGGGCGCACCTGGGCCGCGCTCCCCGTCTCCCCGCTTCCCCGCCGCGCCCTGCAGAGACGTCGGGGCCGCCCCCGGAGCCACAGCGCTCGGGCGGGGCTGGGGTCGGGGCCCCGCGGGCGGGGGAGGGGGCGGCCGGGACGGGGCCACGGGCAGAACCTGCGGGGACCACACGGGCATCTGATGCAATCCCGACCGTCACACGGGAGAGTCGCCCCGGCGGCGGGGGCGGGGCCGGGCAGGCTGGGCCACGCCCTCCCCAGCCGCGTCTCCCTGGTTACCGCGGCGGCGGCGCGCGCCGGCCACCCCAGAGGTCGAGGCAGGAGGCTTGCCATGAGTTCAGAGCCCGCTGGGGCCACGTAGTGAGAACCTGCCCCAAGTTTGAATTTTTCTTTCTGAGATAAAGACTTTTGCAGCAAGGCGGATGATCCTCAAGCTCGGGGCAATCCTCCTGCCTCCGCTTCCCAAGTGCAGAGATGACAGGTGTCAGCCACCGAGTCTCGTCGGCTCTAGCCGGGCGGGGCGAGGGCGGCCAGCCTGGTCTACACGGCGAGCGCCAGGGCTCACGGCTTTTCCTTCCTTCTGCAGTGCGACTGGGGCCGCGCGGCCACCTGCTGCTCCGCGTGCGCCGGGCGTCGCTGGCCCGGGGTCTCCCCGAAGCCTACCGCGTGCACCGAGCGCTGCTCCTGCTGACGCCGTCGGCGCGGCCCTGGGACGTCACCGCGACCCTGCAGCGCGCGCTAATCCTCGGGGGACCCGGCAACCGCACACTGCGCCTGCGCCTGGCGCTGCCCCCCGACCTGGCCGCGACGCCCTCTAGCGGCGCGCGCCTGGAACTGCACCTGCGGCCGGCCGCCGCCAGGGGGCGCCGCAGCGCGCACGCGCGCCTCCGAGACTCCTGCCCGCTGGGTCCCGGGCGCTGCTGTCACCTGCAGACTGTGCAGGCGACCCTCGAGGACCTGGGCTGGAGCGATTGGGTTCTGTCCCCGCGCCAGCTGCAACTGAGCATGTGCGTGGGCGAGTGTCCGCACCTCTACCGCTCGGCCAGCACGCACGCGCAGATCAAGGCGCGCCTCCACGGCCTGCAGCCCGACCGGGTGCCCGCCCCCTGCTGCGTTCCCTCCAGCTACACCCCGGTGGTTCTCATGCACCAGACGGATAGCGGCGTGTCATTGCAGACCTACGACGACCTGGTGGCCCGGGGCTGTCACTGCGCCTGAGCGCCGGGCTGCGCCCCTCACCTGCACTCCACCCTGCTATTTATATTTGTATTTATTAATATTATTAATTTATTGGGGTATGGCTGGGTGGGTGGATTGTGTATTTATTTAAAGCTCTGTAATAAACGTGAGACTGGTTTCTATGGGGGTCTGAGACGGTGACCTTGGAAAGATGCCCCCATCCCTAGCTTCGGTTTCCCCAAGACAGCCGCTGAAGGGATGAGTGCGTGAGATGGATGAGGTGTCAGGCTCCTGAAATAACTCCATGAGTAAAGGGGTCTGCACCCAATCCTGATGACCTGTGTTCAATTCCAGGGACTCACTTGGTCACATAGTGGAAATGAATCCTGAAAGCTGTTGTCCTCTGATCTCCGTATGCGCGGTCTCTCTCTCTCTCTCTCTGTCTGTCTCTGTCTCTCTCTCTGTCTCTGTCTCTATGTCTCTGTCTCTCTGTGTTTCTCTTTCTGTGTCTCTCTGTTTCTTTCTCTCTCTCTCAAACACAGGCACACATACAATGCAATAAAAAAAACCTTTTAAGGGCTGGAGAGATGGCTCAGTGGTTAAGAGCACTGACTGTTCTTCCAGAAGACTCGGGTTCAATTCCCAGCACCCACATGGCAGTTCACAACTGTCTGTAACTCTGGTTTCAAGGATTCTGACACCTCCACACCAAAGCTTATAAAATAAAGGGTTTTTTATCTTTTTTTCTGAAACAGGGTTTCTCTGTGTGGCTTTGGACTCACAGAGATCTGCCTGCCTCTGCCTCCTGAGTGCTGGGACTAAAGGCGTGGCCACCACTGCCCAGCTTTTAAAAATCTTTTAAAAGAGTTGTGGCATGTCTTGGACTGTGCTCTGTAATTGTCCATGTATTTGTCACAGGGACAGTACCTGGCTCCACCTTAGTCACTCTCCCAGTGACCCTTCCGGTATAGCAGGGTGGGAGGTGTTACCTTTTCAAACACAGGCAGCCTGAGGTCATGAAGTTGGAGCTTCTACAAGACCATGCTGACCCCAGCAGGGAAGAGGTCATCACCCTTCCTGTTTCTAACAATTGCTTTCACTGCAATGCTGCCTCTGATCTTTCTTATGAAAACAGCAAGGTGTAAACAGTTAAGTTTCACCCACGCTTTATCTCCCAGGAGAGACATTCCTCCCGTGTATATCTCAGACTTGCTGAGTGCAGGCTGTGGCACCTGTGTCAACTGTTAGGATGTGCGGATGTGTCTCTTCCTGAGTCATTCATCAGTGAGAGAATGGGTGGTTTAGACGCTCTGGTAAAGAAGTCACCTACAGGCATTGGTGGCGCATGCCTTTAATCCCAGCAGGAGGGAGGCAGAGGCAGGCGGATCTCTGTGAGTTCGAGGTCAGCCTGGTCTACAGAGAGAGTTCCAGGACAGCCAGGGCCACACAGAGAAATCCTGTCTCGAAAAAGAAAGAAAGAAAGAAAGACGACAAAAAAGTCCTGAGGTGGGCAGGGCAGGGCAGACGGTGAAGAGGAGGGAGCACTGCCCCATCAGGGCGAAGAGGACCCCACCCTCAGCAGGGAGCACTGCCCCATCAGACTGGCCTTTGAGGAGTTTCTATTTTGGCAGTGATGTGGGAGGGGCCAGCCACTGCCACCTGTCTGCTGGTGGCCCAGTTGGGAGAGCAGCAGGCCAGTAAGGGCTCCCTGGGTTTCCTGCCCAGCAGCAGGAACGATGTCAAGCAGTTCCAGCCCGCACCAGCTGCTCCGACGCCTTTTCCTAGGCATCCTGCAGGAACCACTGCAGATTCCTGTTACGTGGAACCCTGGGTTTCCTTCTGGGCACTTAATTCCTGTCTCTCCTCCAAGCCAGACCCAGCACCCTGGGACTAGGGGCACCTCTGACCAGGTTGTGCCTCTGCAGGGTTTGGGCCAGCATGTGGAGTCATAAACTGATGAAACACACTGAGCTCTAGGGAGCTCAGCTGAGCCTGAGGAATCCTGGAAGGCTTCTCGGGAGAGGCATGCAGCACCTGGGCCTCTGTGTTAGTCACAGTTCTGTAGAGTAGCAGAACTTACAGAAGGAATCTCTCTCTATGTGTAGGGAAAGGGTTTATTGAAGGATTTACAGGCTGCAGTCCAGGCAGTCAACAATGGCAAGCTGTGAACAGAAAGAATCCAGTGGTTGTTCAGTCTACACGGCTGGGTGTCTCAGCTGGTCTGCAGTATGTACTGGAGTCTTGAAGAAGTAGGTTCCTCTGCCAGGGAAGGAATAGATGTGCTCGCAAGTTGAGGGCAAGCAGACAGATCGAATGTTTTCTTCTTCTATGTCCTATTAGACTTCCAGCAGAAGGTGTGGCCCAGATTAAAGGCCTGTTTTCCGGACTCAAAATCCAGATAAAAACCATGTGTCTGACATCTCATAGGTTCAGACGAAGTGGAGCTCCAGGCCAGGCGTTGGTGGTGCACGCCTTCAAACCCAACATTCAGGAGGCAGAGGCAGGTGGATCTCTGTGAGTTCAAAGACAGCCTGGTCTACAGAGCGAGTGCCAGGACAGCCAGGGCTGCAGAGAAACCATGTCTTGAAGAACAAAACAAAAAGAAAGAAGAAAAAGCAGCACATCTTCCCACTTGGAGTTACGCAGCGATCCCTCAGGGGGGCGCCCTCCGTTTTGGGTTTTAATCGATTCCAGATGCAGTCAGGTTGACAACCAAGAGCAGCACCACAGCCTTGAGGCCCTCTTTGGGCGGGCTTGTTTCGTTTGTATGTCTGTTTGGTGAGCAGTGACCCGGGTGGGAAGGACAGAAGGAAGTGAAGGGACTCAAGGAGCGGCAGGGGAGTCACATCAGTTCCAAGCCCTGGCCCAGGACCCCTGAGCTCTGGGTGGGAGGGGAGGCAGAGGAGGGCAGGGAGGGCAGGGAGGACAGGAGGGTGGAGCTTAGGGGAGGCAGGAGTGCAGGGGGAGGGAAGGGGGGGAGGAGGAGCAGGGAGGGCAAGGGGGGAAGGGGGCTAGGGGGCTGACCCTGAGGGCCCACAGCTTCTTTTGCACACTGACTGGAGAGGCCTCAAAGTCCTCATGTCCCCTTTGACATTGCCAGTCCTGGGGAGCACCGGGCTGCAGGGGCAGAGTCTCAAGGCTCCTCCCACAGAGGGGAGGCTGGGCTCAGAGTCAGGGCCACCCACTTCTCCTATGCTGGGGCCCTTCCCAGGGTCTCCAGGTTGCAGTAGACAGGCTGAGGGTCCAGGCCGGCACCATTGTAATTCATGTAGAAATCTGTGTCTCCAGAAGAGCTCCTTAGGGGACAGATAGGCATCAGAGTCATGACAGAATCACAAAGGGCTCTCTCTCTCTCTCTCTCTCTCTCTCTCTCTCTCTCTCTCTCTCTCTCTCTCTCTCACGCACGCACGCACACACACACACGCACTCAGTCCTTGAGCTCTCTCTCACACACGCACGCACACACACATACACACATGTGCGCACACGCGCACGCGCGCACACACATGCACGCACTCAGTCCTTGAGCTCTTAAGTAAGTCCAAAGGGTGAGAAGGGCCTATGGGTGCTCGTTTCTTTGTAGTAGTGGGTGGTTTGGTTGAGCGTATCCCTCATGGGCAGAGATTTAACCACTCAGCACCCAGTGGGTGAGCAAATCACTCCTATACCTCAAAAAGCCTCGTTCCTACACCATCAAAACACAAGGGTGGAAAAGACGCTAAATTTGATCTTCATATCTGCATGTGGTGCATGTGTGTTCCAGAATTGCATGTACACATGCATATGTGTGTGCATGCATCATGTGTGTGCATGTGATGCATGCACGTGTGCCTGTGACTGCACTGCCGTGTCGTGTGCACGTGTGTGTGCGCGCGTGTGTGTGCATGTATGCATGCATGATGCATGTAGGTGTGTGTGTATGACAGTGTGCCGTGCTGCGTCGTGTGCCTGTGCACATGTGTGTGTGTGAGTGTGTGCGTGCATGATGCATGTAGGTGTGTGTGTATGACAGTGGGCCGTGCATTTCACTTCTCATCTCTCCGGTCCCAGAACTCGCCTTCTTGTGCTTTGTTTTGTTTTTTGAGACAGGGTCTCATGTAGCCCAGGTTAACCTTGAACTTGGATTTCCTGCCTCTGCCTCCCAGAGCTGGGCTGGGTGGTGAGGCCAAGTGTTTCTGGTGAGCTCCAGCCTGGCTCAGCCCGCTGACTTCATTTTTTTAGCAGTATTTCCTTATTATCGTTTGCCTCTGAGTGCAGAAGAGGCTGTGGAAGCCCCCGTGGGTGGGAGGACCCGGGTCTCAGAAGTCACCCAGGGCGGCTGTCTGTCTCTTCCTGTGCCCTCCCCGTCCCTCCCTGCCCTCTACTTCTGCTTTTTCAACATTTGCATCTCATTTACATACCTTCCTTCTCAGCAACAGTTACCCAAATCCCTGGCATCAGCCTCCAGCTGGCCGCTCTCTTCCTTCCTTCCTCCTAGCCCGTCCCCAAGGCCTGAACCACAAACTTCCCCTACTGTTTTCTTTCTTGTTTTTCTCTCTGTTTGTGCGTTTGGTTTGTTGAGAAAGAGTTTCATGTGGTCCAGGCTGCTGGCCTCAAGCTGGGATCCTCCTGCCTCCACCCTGCGTTGCTGGGGAAACAGGCGGGCACTGCCAACGCCCCTGCTGCTTCACCCACTTTACCTGGCTGAGCCTCCCAATATCCCAGGAAGAAGCAGGAGCTCTCCCCCATGACATGGGGACGCAGACAGCACTCAGTCTGGGCTGCTGTACCCCATTTCACCCCAGCCCTGCCTCTCCTCCTTCCTCCAGAGCTGTGAACTGGGCTTACAGGTCACACAGTCAGGAGCTGAGCCTGCCCCCCAGGGACCTTACCCCAACCCCTGGAGGTGAGGGCTCTCTGGTCCTCACACAAACAGAGATGTGAAGCTACTTGGCCAATGCCAGCCACACAGCTTGCATGGGGCCCACTTGCATGTTCACGCTGGTGATCCTCCTGCCTCTGACTCCTGAGGGCAGGCGCACACCACCATGTTGAGCCGAAGCTGAGTAACTGCCCACTGTGGGAGGTATCACTCACCTGGGTGCTGTCCACGAGCAGTCCTCGTCCAGTGCATCTATGAAGATATTCTCATAGTCCAGCATGGACCCGCCTGGTGACGTATCCGGGGCCTTGGGGTCCAGTGTCTCACTGATGTGCCTTGGCTGGAAGTCTGTCACCTGTCTGGGGACATTGTATGACCTCTGGTCTTTGCTGAAGCCCTGGCTACTGGTTCCTTGGTGCCGCCGAAGTCTCCAGGCCAGCACAGATCCACTGACAGCCACAATCAGGAAGACAGTCCCTGCCACAAGGGCGCCAATGACACCCGGGGCCAAACTGGAGGGACAGCTGACCCGGAGGAAGATGGAGAGGTTCCTCAGGGCTCCAGTGTCGGGGGGCAGACACAGCAGCTCCTGCTCTCCAGAGCAATTGTTCCTGCGAATGTCGTGCCAAGAGGCCAGTCCACAGCTGCAGTCAGCCCTAAGCTCCAGGTCACAACGCAGGGCCAGCGACCGGTCCACAATGGCTAGAGGGTTGTGGGTGACAATCAGGGTTTGCAGCTTCCCCAGGCTGGCGAAGAAGACCCCGGGGAGTGCCTGCAGCCCGTTCCTAGACAGGTCCAGAACTTGCACACGGCTGGCCTGCAGGGGCTGGGTCCTCAGTCGGGATAGACCAAGGCCACTGAAATTGAGGCAGATGTCATTGAATGTCTGGGTCCAGTTCACATTCCTTGGGGACACCATGCAGGTGAGATCTTGACTCCCTGACTTGTGGAGCAGGGCCAACAGCAGCAGGAGACATGACCACAGCAGCCTGGCCCCCGTGGCTCCCATTCTTGGAATCTGTGTGGGGACACAGGTATCAGATGGTGAACTCACCCTCTCCCTCTCTCCCTGCCAGGCTTGAATACTGTGGGTTAAAAAAATGCATTAATAACTTAAACCAGGCTAGAGGAGGTGCTACACACCTTTAATCCCAGCACTCAGGCAGCAGAGTCAGGTGGATCTCCGTGAGTTCGTGGCCAGCCTGGTCTACAGAGTGAGACCCAGTCTCAAACCCAAATAAAATGCCCTCAGCCAGCTCAGGCTCTTCTGACATGGTGGCACACGGCTCCTGGTTATACATATCTGGTCCCCAAGCTTCCATTTTCTGGTCTTTGGAATGGGTGCACTGGATGCCTGCTGGAAGGCTAGACCACCCTCCCACACGCCTGCCCAGATACTGCTACTGCAGCACTGCTCTTGGCCAACATGTGTCATGTGCAGATGGGTGGCCATGGACACCACCCACCCGGGTCCTGGCAACCTCTGCCCTGCAGGTTCCGGTACTTTGTAGGGCAGACCCGGGAATGCGGGAGCCCTTTCTGCACCAGCTGCCCAGAGTGCCTGGGTCTCACCTCCTGGTGTCTCTTTCTGTCCTTTGTGGTGTCCCAAGCCTCAGGTGCCTCGGGTGCCTCGGGTCTGGGTCGAGGTTCACAGGCGAAGCCACGGCGACCTGCCTCTTTCTCCTCTCCCTCTGGGCCCAGTGCCTGGGAGAAGAGTGGAGGCCGGGCTCTCTCACAGAGGAGGAGGGGCTGCTCTGGCCCACTTCTCTCTTGCTGGTGACCTCACGCTGTGTGCCTTGGCCCCCACCCGCTGCCTGACTTCTGCTTGGCTCTGCAAATATTCACTCGACAAACAATCACTACAAATGCTTCAGGCCTGCAAGGTATCAGGGGTATCTCGTCATAGGAAAGAACAGCTAGGCAGTGACACCCCCGTGGAGACAGGACAGGCCCAGAAAAAGGGACAGGATCTAGCAAGGCATCCTAGAGGAGGCAGCATTAAAGTTGGGGCTTCAACATATGGCTAGGAGTTTGTGAAAGTCCCGCGGCCTGAGGAGCAGCTGCCTAGGAGGAAGCTTGAAGGAGCAGCCGGCAGGGAGAGCAGGGAGCTAGCCTGTGGTTGGCCCGGAGGAGCCAGGCTGGCATGTGTGCCGGGGAGGGAGTGTGTCCTGGTGTGAGGACTGTGTGGCCCGGTCTGTCAGTGGGACACTGACAGGAAGAGGAAGTGGTCAGGGGTCTGTGAGGCGCTCGCTCCTGTGGATTCTCCCCCCTCAGCGGCAAGGTGCTGGCGGGGCAGGACAGGAGGAGCTCAGCGCTGCCGGGCGGGTGACAGGCTGGCCTAGGTCTGTAGAGAATGCTCAGCAGTGGAGAGAGCTTCCTGCACCGTGGACTGGTGCCTGTCACCCGATGCCCAGTGAGGATGAATTCATGACACTGAGTGACAGATGTCAGACACAGCGACATGAGCAAGCCCCGCCCCCCAGGCCCAGCAGCCCCAGATCTGCTGTGACGTTGGGGCTCTTCTTTGGGAAGTGGGGTCTTCTGCAAGCATCAAGGGCAGACACCCAGCACAGGGCACATGTCAAAGCTGCCGGCTTCCTTATCATTACCCCACTTCATTTACTTGGGGTGTGTGTGCTGCAAGGGACACAGACCTCAGCTTGCAGGACTCTGCTCTCCCCTCCACCTTGTGGTCCCTGCCTGTCAGGTGTGGTGGCGCGTGCCACCCTGACAGCCCCAGTTTTGTTTCCTGGAGTCAGGGCCTTCTGTGCACCCACCCTGCTTTCTCCCTTGGGTCCCTGGGTCCTGGGTTGGCAGAGTGAGTCTGGTGCTGTGTTTTGTGTGTGTGCTGAGCACAACAAAAAGTAGATGGAAGCCGGGCGGTGGTGGCACAGCCTTTAATCCCAGCACTCGGGAGGCAGAGGCAGGAGGATCTCTGTGAGTTCGAGGCCAGCCTGGTCTACAGAGAGAGTTCCAGGACAGCCTCTAAAACAATACAGAGAAACCCTGTCTCGAAAAAAATAAATGAACAAATAAACAAACAAAACAAAGAAAGAAGAAAAAAAGAAGGAAGAGAAGGAGAAGAAGAAGAAGAAGAAGAAGAAGAAGAAGAAGAAGAAGAAGAAGAAGAAAAGAAGAAGAAGAAGAAGAAACAAAGGAAGAAAAGAGACATGGACAAGGAAATGGGGTGCAGCTGATCCTCAGTTAGGAGGCTGGGTGTGGTGCAGGCAGGACCAGGCCACAAAAATCTCCAATGTCACCACAAACAGAGGTCACAGCTGTCCTCAGCACCCCAGACCTTTAGGGTTGCCCAATAACTACATATGCTCAGAGAAACCCCAAAATATCCAAATGCTCTCAGAAACCCTTGAAAGCTTTGGAAGTATTAGGAGACTCCCCCAATCTCCAAATGCTAGTGATGCACACAAAAGACCCTTAGAGACAGTGACATGGATAGACATGGAGCCAGGGTCCCCCCAACCGAGTGCTACTGTGCCACCACCCCTGAGACCCTGTGCTGCGCCCCCATGTCTGAGCGGCTGTGCTGCACACGACCCCAAGGCTCCGAAGTCACCCCTGCTGCCTCTCCCTGCCAGCTCTCTGACACCACAGATCGGCCCATGATCCCCACAATCCTTCCTCTGGAGGTGCCCCCGGTTTGCACCCCAGGCCCCCTCCTAGGGTGCAGCCCATTCTTGTTCACAGGAAGGGGGAGGAGGGCTCAGTAAGTGTCCAGCGATGTGGAAGGAGGCCAGGTTGAGATTGGCCATCAAACCCTGGCAGGCTCCTACTCTGTCCTGAAAACCCAGTTTCTGGTTCCCAAGGAGTTTAGAGGTAAAGACTCTGAACTATGATTTTTATCTGCTCAGCCAGTGTAGCTTAGATTGCCTCAGAACTGTCATCCTCCTGCCTCTGCCTCTTCTGTGTTGTGAGAGGAGCTGGTGTGGCCCCCACACTGGTATTTACTACAGGGCATGAGGGCCTCGTGTTCATGGCTAAGCACTAGGGAAACGTGAGCAGCAGGGCTGTCTCTTATTCCAGAAGAAGGGACACACACTGTTTCCACCCAGAAAGCTGGGAACGGAGGTAGCTGATGTCTCGGGCCGCTCACCCCGGGTTCCTCAGACCGTTAGGTGGTCTCAGTCATTCAACCTGCACTGTTGCTTGAGAATGTTGTTTCTGAGTCAGCAGAACGAGTCTACAGAAGCTGCTGCACACACTTTGGAAAGAGTCTCAGTAAACAAGGCTTAAGCTCTGCTGTCCTCAGGTTCTAGTCAACCATCTTCAGGGCTCTTTACCCAAAACTGCTGAGCTTTAACACGGCTACAGCCAACTGCCAGGGGGTCAGACTCCAGAGAGCGGTCCCTGAGTCTGAAACTGGGCTTCCTCTGCAGGGTCTGGCGACTGCAGAAACCCCACAGAATATATTAGCCACTAGTAGGAAAATCAGGCCAGAGCCAGGGCGGCTAATGTAGTGCAGCCCCAAACTGCATTTCTGCACAGGGGCTCATGGGGACCCCTGGACCAGATGATTTTGGAAACAGCTCTGAACCACAAGAACATGACCACGCTCACAGCTGCGGACCTGGGACAGCAGGGACATCTGTCTGGTCACCACTGCCCACACCTGGCAGGTCAGCCTGGGCTACACAGGAGACTGGGATCCCCCAGTGAGGGTGCAGGCCCTGCCTAGAATCTTGGAGAAAGTAGTAATATGTCCATTTCGCAGATGGGGAAACATGTTGTGGAATATAACATTTGTTAACTATGTAAAGGTGTGTTGCTGTTTCACCTCGCCTGCCCAAGGCGCCTGATTGGTCTAATGTAAACCTGAACGACCAATAGCTGGGCAGAGGAGGGATAGATGGAGCCGGTGGACAGAGAGAAGGAGAGCCAGACAGACAGACACGGAGGAGGCAGGAAAACAGACAGACAGCACGTAGATGAGGGAACGAGCTCAGGGCAGAACACAGATTAACAGAAATGGGCTCGTTTAGGTAAAAATCTAGCTAGCCTAAACTAAGGCGGAGCTTTCATAATTAGCAAGTCTCCGTCATGGTTGGGGTCTGGTGGTGTAAGAAAGGCTGGGGCAGAGACTGAGCCCCGGGTTGCTTGATTGGCTTCTTAGCTTCTGAAAGTAGACAGCGTGGGGCTGGAGAGATGGCTCAGCGGTTAAGAGCATTGACTGTTGCCGGGCGGTGGTGGCGCACGCCTTTAATCCCAGCACTCGGGAGGCAGAGGCCAGCCTGGTCTACAAAGCGAGGTCCAGGACAGGCTCCAAAGCCACAGAGAAACCCTGTCTGGAAAACCCAAAAAAAAAAAAAAAAAAGCATTGATTGTTCTTCCCAAGGTCCTGAGTTCAATTCCTGGCAACCACATGGTGACTCTCAACCCCCTTGAAAGAGATCTGGTGCCCTCTGCTGGCATGCAGACAGAAGATTGTATACACAATACATAAATTAAAAAAGAAGTAGATAGCGCGTCTGACAGCATCTGAGTGGACACTAGGACTGTTTGTGTGGACCTGGAAGATTGTTGAGTGTCCCTGCACCGGGAAGGGAAGTAGGGCCTTTTATTATTATTTACAGGCTTTCCTGGCCCTCAGACTTTTCAAAAAGATTTTTTTTTTTTTTTTGGTTTTTACAAGACAGGGTTTCTCTGTATTGTTTTGGAGGCTGTTGGTCCAGCCTGGCCTCGAACTCACAGAGATCCGCCAGCCTCTGCCTCCCGAGTGCTGGGATTAAAGGCATGCGCCACCACCGCCTGGCTCAAAAAGATTTTTAAATTTTGTATGTATGAGTGAGTGTGGGTGAGTGTGTGGGTGCATGGGTGAGTGTGTATGTACATAGTTAAGCGTGTGGGTGAGTGTGTGACCACATGTGTAAGTCCCAGGAAGCCCTGAAGAGTGATTCCAATTCCCTGGTGCCAGAGATTCTGGCCATCTTAAGCTACTGGAGGCTGGAAAGCGAGCGTGGTTCCTCTCAACATCAGCAACCGTTTGGTGGCGGAACGGTCTCTCCAGTCACACATCACTTCTGAGCGTCTGCATTAGTGGGTTCTAGGCCCTGTTTGTGCAATAAGGGAGGATTTCCCTGTCAGCTGCACACAGGAGACAATGCCTCGTTATTTAAGGCTATCCCAGCTTAGTTAGGGTAGTTAGACTGCAGCATTCCAACTCTGCCGTCACTGAGACTCTAACCAGTCAGAGAAGTGGGGTCTAGGTGCCTGCTCCCCAACGGTAGTTAACAGATGGTAAGCGTGTGGTGCCAGGGTGGATTCCAGGGCCTGAAACATGCTGGTAGTTTACCTACACCATGCCCTCAGCCCTAGATTTTGTGTTAAATGTCTAGTTATTGGGCATCTACTGGATGCAGCAAAATCGCCACCATTAAAACAGCGGATTTTAATTTTATGCGTATTGGTGTTTTGTTTGCATGTAAGCCCATATAAAAGTGCCAGACCTCTGGGACTGGAATTACACAGAGTCATTCCAGCCGCCTCCATCTTGCCCTTAAAAGCCATCTTAAAGACAAATGAGGTTCACTCCTGTTTATAGTTAAAACTCAAGGATTGGGCTGTGGTCACCTGTAGCCGTCACTACAAACGGGGTTCTGTGCTGCCTGTTCCCCGAAAGGCAATTGTGTCTTTGTTTCAAAAAGTTGCTTATAACCATCCTGCAACCCTCCCTTTGTTTCAAAAGGTTACATGACCAGCCATGACTAGTTCATTATAACCGCCTTGTTACCTTGTAACCACGTCTTTGTTCCAGGAGGGACTACCTTGTTATACTCTTGTTTCCCCATCTAGAACCCCCACCCCCAGTACCTTCCACACTTCCAAGGCTGACCTGGTGAAACCCACCTTAGGAGGCGGCTGTTCTGACCTGGTGAAACCCGCCTTAGGAGGCAGCTGTTCTGACCTGGTGAAACCCGCCTTAGGAGGCAGCTGTTCTGACCTGGTGAAACCCACCTTAGGAGGCAGCTGTTCCGACCTGGTGAAACCCGCCTTAGGAGGCGGCTGTTCTGACCTGGTGAAACCCACCTTAGGAGGCAGCTGTTCTGACCTGGTGAAACCCACCTTAGGGGAGGCGGCTGTTCTGACCTGGTGAAACCCACCTTAGGGGAGGCAGCTGTTCTGGTGGAAGCTTCATCTCAGACTCTGGCATCCATACACACAAAGAGTCTGGAATGTTCTGGTGGAAGTTCCAAGCCCTCTCTGCCATTTCCCTCCAAACCCTAAGCCCGCCAAATGAAGACCCCTCCCCAAGAGATGCTCAAGACCACTCCCACAGAGTATTTAAAGTATCCCCCAGAAAATAGATCTCCAGTCTCCTCTCTGAGCAGCTGGAAGGCCACCCAGGAGCATTGTATCTGTGAAAAATGGGCTTTTTCTACTTCTGTTTGATTTGGTCTGATTTGGAGTGTTGCCATCAGTGGAGAGGAATAAAAATCATGTTCTAGCTGGGCGGTGGTGGCACAGCCACTCGGGAGGCAGAGGCAAGCGGATCTCTGTGAGTTCAAGACCAGCCTGGTCTACAAGAGCTAGTTCCAGGACAGCCTCCAAAGCTACACAGAGAAACCCTGTCTTGAAAAACCAAAAATCAATAAATTTTAAAAAATCATGCTCTAAATCATTGCTTGCTTTAATTAATTTGGCCATGATATGATGATCTGGGTCAGTGGTCTTCCTTCTCCTATCTTTGGAATTAATAACAGTTGTGAGCTGCCTTGTGGGTGCTGGGAATTAACCTGGGTCCTCTGGAAGAGCAGCCAATGCTCCTAACCACCGAACCATCTCTCCAGCCCCTAGAAAACAGCCAAGTTGGTGGCGCTGGCCTGTGACCCCAGCCCTACGAAGCTGTGGGAACATCATGCGTTCCAGAGACGAACACCCTCTCAGAGTTTCGCGCAAATACGTAACTTTCTATTTGGATGCTCCCGTGGACGCCTGCGCCAGGCCAAACGTCCCTTTGGCTGCCGGCTTCTTTCTCTGGTGCCATCGCGTGGCCACGTGTGGAACCACAGCCCACGGCTGTTTGAGGGAGCATGAAACCCGACAGCCTGAGAAAAGTTCAGGGTGGAAGCGGTGCCGGTTCGTCGGCTCAGCAAATGCTTACAGAGCGCTTCTCATACGAGATGAGAGGATGTGGGGGCATGCATTACCAACGCACCCCCAAACGAGGTGACCCTCAGGCCCGCTGCTCCGTCGCTCGCCCGCCCCTTCCTCCTCAGAACAAACTGTGCCAGCGCCCGCTCCCCCAGCTGGGGCTGAACTGGGGACCCGAGGTCCGTGGAAGGGACCCCGGGGCCCCGTGCTTGGGAAAGAGCGCACCAGGAGTCTGCCTGTCCTGCAGCGTCCCCGGGGCGTGCGGCCCCGACGTCCTCACGAGCTGGCGGAGGCCGGCGTGGGAGGCTCCGGAGAACCCGCCCGTCGGGCTGCGCTCTGGCGACGGCGACCCCTGGGCCTCCCCGCTCCGCCGGCGTCGGTCCCCAGTACCCTGGACCCCCGGAGGCTGAGCTCAGGACCCCACGCTCCCTTCACCCCGGGCCCAGGGCAGCCCGAGCTCGCCGCGTGCACCAGCTGCGGCTGCTCCCTTCCCGGTGGTGTTTGGGTTTTAGTTTTTGTGTTGCACTTAGGAAATTGCCCGTAATTACAGCTGCGGAGCGCAAACGGTCTCCAGTACAGCGGCGCTCCAGCTGTGCTGCCGCCTACGCTCAGCTGGGCGGGGCTGCGGGTGCCCAGTCCACGCGGTTCCGCTCGCCCGCGCCGTGGCCCCCGGCGGGGGCGCTCAGCAGCTGTCACTCGCAGTGACAGGCGAGGCGATGGGGGAAGCTAGAGGGGGCAGGAAGGGCCTGGGAAACAGGACAGAGGCGGGAGGCAGGGCCGGGAGGAGTGGAAGGGAGGGGCAGCAGCCCTGCAGTGCCGCTGCCAGCCACACGGGGGCGCCGCGGCTCTCCTGGTGGACGGGGCGGTCGCCGGCAGGAGATTCAAGGGAAGAAACAAGATTCATCCTCCCGGGTCTGTCTGCCTTCTGTGAGCCAGGACTGGAGGCCAGGCTCCAGTGTGCAGAGCCCGGCCCGCTTGGCGAAGCGGGCGATCTGGTCCCTACCCCACCCCAGAGAAAGGGGACAGGCTTCAGACGCCTCCCGCCTGTCGCCGGATCAACCGCACTTCGGGAAATCGCTTTCTTTTATTGGACGTAAACTGGGCTGGAGAGATGATCTGCTCAGCCGTGAAAGGCTAGGCTCACGGCCACAAATATTTGACGTACATTACTTGTGTCTACGTGTGTGTGGCAGTCACAAGATTGGTCAGCACATCCCACCATATGGGTCTTGAGAGTGGAACTCAGGTCACCAAGCTCGGTGGCAAGCGCCTTTGCCGGCTGAGCCATCTCGCTGGCCCAAGGGAATAGCTTTGTGAGCCTAGCCTCTCAGGGTGGCTCTTGAGATATGTCTCACCCTCTCCTGCAGACAGCTCTCGCCCTGACGACCATCCCGGACCCCCGCTCTGCAGCCTCCAGCACCCCGGAGCCTTTGCGCCCTCTGAGGACTCCTTCCCCGTCCCTCAGTACCAATCTCTCCCTCACGCGGGCGGGCCCCTGGCTGTGCCCAAACTGGGTGTGTATGTCCTGCGAGCGCAGCTCCCCCCACTCTGCTAGCTGTGTTTGGGAGCGCCTCGGTTGCCATGACGACGGTGCAGTCGCTGCCGCCCGCAGAGCCTCCCCCAGCAGCCGGCAGGGCTGAGGGCGCCCCCGCCTCGCTCTTCCCTGCGTTCGTCCGCCTCCACCCTCCTCCGGGAGCCTCGCCGACCTCGCCGCCGCCCGTCCTCCCTCCCTCTGCCCAGCTTGTGTCGCTAGTTTCCCGCGGTGGACTCTCTGCGCCAGGAGTCGTAGCAAAGCGTCCCCACTGGGTCCCCAGAGCCCTGTAGACAGCAGGCGCTCAATGAACAGCTCCGGGGGCGGGTGAAGACACAGAGCTGTGGCTAACGGGGGGGGGGGGGGGGGCCGGCGTTGTGGGCAGCGCCGGACCTTAGGGGCACAGATCGGAGGGAACCTCGGTGCTGTGTGCTGCGCATGCCGGGTGCACTGGCGCCTTCTCTGTACCTCGTCAAGAGCAGAGGCTCCAAAGAGCTGCCGTCCTCGGTGGCCCAGGATCCCAGACGGCCTTTCAGGCACCAAGCAGTCGGCAGCCCCGCGGCGCGGAGAGGAAACTGGGGGAGGGGGCGGCGGGCCCGGCAGGAAATGGGAAAGGCCGGCGTCCGCCCAGCCGAGCCCTGGGGGAGGAGGCGGGGCGCGCCCGGGCAGCCTTTCTTGCGCGCCTGGAACCTCCGCGTCTCGGCTTCGCGCTCGCCGGCCAGGGTGGGGGCAGGGAGGCCCGGGCAAGGGGATCTGCCTGCACCCAGAACAACCACGCGCGACACATGGCCGCGGTGACCTGCAGGCTGTCACACTGTCGCACACACACATACCACAGGCAACCTGTGCCACGCGAGGTCCGGGAGGCTGAAGACTTACTGGGGACAATCTTAGCCTGCCACCCCTCCAAAAAACCAAAACACCGTCGCTGCCCACATGGGGACACTTGCAAGGACAGCGAGCATTCGCCTGCACGCCTCCTGACTCCCATGCTCCAGAAACACACGTGCGCTCACGGGGCCCGCGTGTTATGCTTGTGCGTGTGCGCGCGCGGAGGGGGCACGCACGTCCTCGGCCCAGCGAGTACGCCTGTCACCCCAGTACTCCAGAGGTAAAGGCTGAAGGATCACCAATTCAGGGATAGCCCTAGTGATGTAGGCAGTTGGAGGACAGCCTGGGCTACATGAGACATTGTTTCGTTTCCATCCACTTTTGAGACAGGGTCTCACTATGTATCCTTTTGTCTTAGAACTCGCTATGTAGATCAGGCTGGCCTCGAACTCAGAGGTCCGCCTGCCTCTGCCACGAGTGAAGACAGCAAACCAAAACACAAATGTGCTTGGCTTGGGCTCAGCTGGTCCCATGCTGGCTTGCACAAAGCCCTGGGTTCCATCCACAGCTCACCACCACCGGGGGAAGTGGTGCACGCCGGTCATCTCAGCACCAGGGAGGCTGAGCGCAAACTCAAGGTCATCCTTCGGAGCTCTTTTTAAAGAGCTGGAGGTCAACCTTGACCACGTTAAATCCTCAGAAGAAAAGATGGGACTCCTCACAGCGGCCGTGCTGCATGTGGGCTCACAGGTGTCCTAGGTGCGGAATGTCGTGGGCGCATGCACTCTGAGGCCAGGAGACTGGTGCATGCCCCGAGTCGAAGCCGAGATAGCCAGAGCCCCGGGAGTGTGTGCAGCTGGGAGTCTCGCTCCGCAGCCGAGGTGAGCCTGGAGCTCGCAGTCATCCTCCTGCCTCAGCTTCTCGATTTGCAGGCATGGCCGCGGCCAGAGCGTGCCACCCGCGTGGGCATCTCTGCGGGAGGTGCGGTAGCGGCTGCTAAGCCGAGCGCAGTCGGCTGGTGCGCAGTGCCGCCCCCGCGGGCTCTGCGCGTGCGTGCTCCTAGAGCGGGCCCCACCCGCAGTCCGCCGTTGCCGCTTTAAGAGCAGCGGGAGCGCGCGGCGGCGGCGGCGCGCTTCCCGGAACAGCCCGCGGAGGGCAGCGCGGCTGGAACCCACCCGCGGCCGCAGCTCCGGCGCGGACATGGCCGCGGGGCCCGGGGCGCGGGCGGCGATGGCCACGCGCGCCTGACAGAGCGGAGCATGTACGGCAAGGCGGGCAAGGGCTGCGCGCCCTCGGACGGCCAGGCGCGCGAGAAGTGAGTGCGTAGCACGGGGGCCACGCGGGACGGGGGCTGTGGGGTCACGCGGGACCAGAAGGAGCGGGACTTCAGCGGACACACCAGATCCGGGGCGCCCGCGGTGTTAGCGGAGATCAGATTGAAGCGGGATTTCAGGAGTACACACGAGGTCAAGGGGCTCGTGGGGTCACGCGAGACCTCAAGGATGTGTGACTGTGGACGTGCGAGACCTGAGGCTCTGCCGGGGGACACGAAGGGCAGAATACATTGGGCGCACTGGAGTTCCGGGGGCTCGGGGCCGCGTGAGATACAGAGAGCATGAGATCGTAGCGTGGGAGAGCCAAGGGAGCCTCAGGGCGCGTGAGGGGACAGGAGATCAAGGGGTCAGACAAGACCCCAGGGGGTGCGGGGTCACACGGATTGGGTGCGGATCGGGGGGCTGTGGCTGTGAGCGATCCTAGGGCAGACGCACGCCCTCCGAGGGGGGCCAGACCCCGATGGTCTGGGTCCACAGAGCTGACAGGTGTGAACATTGGGGCGCGCTGTCTGGGGCTCATGCAGAGTTGCAGGTTTTAGGATAGGAGTTCCATGCATGCAAGCCCAACGCTGGGGATTTGAAATGGGACACGTGGGGTTCATTGTGGCTGCAGATTTGAGGAGGCTGAGGGACTCTAGCTCACGTGAGGTGTTTGGGGGTGAGGTCGTGAGATTTGCATGGGCACGTGTGACCCGAGTTGGACTCCACTGACACTTGTGGGCCAAGGTGAGGACACGGGGCAGGAGGGAGGCTGCAGCCTCAGGCTGGTGTCTGGCCGTGTGGGAACGGGCGGCCCTGGAGCTGAGCTGCCCAGCACAGCCCTGCTCTGAGACAGGTCACCCTGCACAGAGAAGTTGGGGTCACTGGGGAGGCCTTGGAAGGCTGGCCCCTGAGGCCTCCCTTGTGTTGTGGTTGGTCAGGCCTCGTTTGTGGTAAACTCAGTGACTCATCCTGGCCCTGGGCTGCTGCCCATGTGGGAGTCCCCAGCCTGAAGGAGCCACACAGAGTCCTGTTCGGAGTTGGGGCAGAGGTGGGTGGGGGCTACACCCTGGGCCTGTGAGAGGACACACTCGCCCCACAGAGCACCTGGGGCCACAAGAACCTCAAGGCAGCTAGGGGGGTGCAGGGGTGAGGAGTGAGGGTGTGGCGGCGGGCTGTCTCAGTGCAAAGGCCCTGTGGCAGGGTTAGGGAGGCAGCTGCGGCTGGGCCGAGGGTGGCAGTGGCCTGAGGGTGAATGTGGACCATTCACCCTGTGCCTTCTGAAAGACTCGTGCGTCTGGGCTGCGGGGCTCACAGGACAGGAAGGAGGCCAACCATGTTTGGGACCACTGAGGCACAGCTGAGGAGCAGGGGTGGGCAGCGGGCCTGCATGGGAGCCGGCCCTGGTCAGGGGACCCTGGGAGGCAGGCCTCTTCCAGCGCGGGGCTGGTGTAGGGCCGTCTGCCTTCCCCGTGGTCCTCACAGACACGGTAGGCTGCCTCGGTTCCCCACTGCGTCGTGGCCGGCTGGCCTTTCTGGGCTCAGGCTGCCAACCCCAGTGCCAGTCACTGAATGGCCCAGTCCTGATCTTTCTCCTCGGAACTCACCTGTTTCTGGGCTGCACCTTCCAGGCTTGTACCCTGCACGTGGGTGCTGAGCATGAGAGGGACCTGAGTGGGCCTTGTATAAGTCGGAGTGTGAGAGCACCAACCAAGGCACGTGTCCATCTGGTGCTGCACGGCAGCTGAGGTGCCTTCAGGACGGCCAGCCACCTTGACACAGGTGACAGATGCTGTTTAAGGCCCACACCTGGGGAGGAAGGCCTGTGAGTCACAGGGTCACTAGAAGGCCTTGGCAGGACCTGTGACAGGTTAAGTGATACCTGGAGTGTGATTGGCCCCCAGCAGCCTGTCTGGTGCTGGCAGGGGTGGCCTTTACGGTAAACTCCCCATGCTTATGGTGGCAGTGGCAGTGGTGTTGGGCACTGGGAGCCAGCTAACATGAGCTGTCCACACGCCACAGCCTGGGCCTGTGTTCCAAGCACTCAACCCTTCCAGCAGGAAGGGCGCTGAGCTTGTCCTGGCTTCTCACAGTCCCTCTGTCTGCTTACTTTCTGCTCCAGGCAGGGGAAGTGGGGGATCTGAGGAGTTGGGCTGACCCAGGACATTGAGCCAGCGTGTGGGGGTCTTAGGACCTGTGCCCTCCCCCCAAGCTATCAGAGACAATAGAGTGCGTGGGGCATGGGGCAGAGATGGGTGAGGCAGGAGCACTTTGAACCGTTGATGTTGGAGTCGGGAGGCACTACCTAGGCAAAGGCCCTGGGGGGAGGCAGGGGCTAGCCCAGGGAGGAGCTGGGGGGAGGCAGGGGCTAGCCCAGGGAGGAGCTGGGGGGGCAGGGGCTAGCCCAGGGAGGAACGGGGGGGAGGCAGGGGCTAGCCCAGGGAGGAGCTGGGGGGAGGCAGGGGCTAGCCCAGGGAGGAGCTGGGGGAGGCAGGGGCTAGCCCAGGGAGGAACTGGGGGGAGGCAGGGGCTAGCCCAGGGAGGAGCTGGGGGAGGCAGGGGCTAGCCCAGGGAGGAGCTGGGGGGAGGCAGGGGCTAGCCCAGGGAGGAGCTGGGGGGAGGCAGGGGCTAGCCCAGGGAGGAGCTAGAGTTCCTCCAGTTCAGGGCCTGGGGCAAGCATCTGCAGGGGAGCGGTGTGTATCTGAGACATGATGGCACTGGACAGTCGAGCAGGTTTGAGGCCTGGCCTTGGTGCGTCCCTGTGGCTGGGCCCATGGGGTCTCCCTGTTGTGCTAGCCTTGTGATTAGGGTGCTGGTGAGAGCCTGCTCACCGTGACACCCAATCCCTGAGGCTTCCTTTGGATGTAAAGGAGCTGCAGAGGAGCAGGTGGCTGGGGTGGGGGCGCAGGGATGGAAATACCAGGACGAGGGGAGGGGCGGGGAAGGCAGGAGGCTCTAAGGGCTCCTGAGGGGTCAGGGCACTGACGGACAGGCCATAGGAAGACAGGTGGAGAGTGATGTCATAGGAGTTAAGAGTGACATCCGGGCATCGCCGAGCTGTCTCAGCCCTCGTCCCTGTCAGGCTATCAGGAGGGGCACAGGGTGGCGAGGCCACCCTGGCCATGCCACCATCTCACACAGCTCACATGGCGCAAGCGGCAAGCAGGGCTCTCTCTCATCGTGGGCCATGGCACCCTGACCCTGTCTGCTAGTTCAGTCCTCGTGGTCCACTTGTGTGTGTCCGAGAGGATATCGTGGACCTGGGAAGACAGCCCTGTGCCACCGCCCCAGGAGGGCAGGCCAGTGGTCAGGTGACGGGGCAGATGGATGGAGGGGTGGAAGAGAGGGTGGGCAGTGGCGGACGGCGGGGTGATGGAAGAGCAGCTGGATAGGCAGGCAGGCGTGTGGGTTAATGGGCAGATGGACAGATGGACAGGAGCGTGAAGACTAAGGCGAAGGAGCTCTAGGCTGGGGGTCAAGGTCCCGAGTGCCCCGGGGCAGAGGTGAGCTGGTGGAGGGAGGGCGCAGGGCGTCAGGGCCTGAGTCCCTCAGCCAGGGAGGGGGCGGGGACCCCTGCGGAGCCCCTGGAGCCCTGTGGGTCTGCTGGCAGTCCGTGCCTTATCCCCTGCCCCTGTGGGGCCGCCCAGGGGACACACCTGTGAGCTAGAAGGACCAGTGCCCAGAAGGAGGATGACACTTGGGGAGGTAGCTGCCGTGGAAGGGAGCTGGGAGGGAGGGCCCAGCCTGCTGTGGTGGCGGTACTGCAGGCCCTGCCTTCTGTCAGCCACGCTTCCTCTCCCACTCCCCAGAGGTGCCATTACTTTCTCCTTGGGAGGGGCCTTGAGGTGGGGTGTTGATGAATGCTTAGGAGTTGGCTGCCAGTGAGTTGAAGAATGTGTTCTCTGTGATTGATGGAACTGAGGATCTAGTACGGGTAGTGAACCAAGCCTTGTGGCTTATATGAAGGATGGACTGGGGAGCCTGCTCATGGCCTGGAGGCGGCCGGCCAATGGGCGCCACTCCACTGAGCAGCCTGGACCGTTTGCCCCCCGCCTGCAGGCTGGCGCTGTATGTGTATGAGTA